AAAAAAGTCATATTAATAAAAATCTGGTCAAAAATGTTAACAATAATCATGGTTGGTATTGTTGATTGAGGATTTTTTTGTTGATTAATTCAAATTTCAATTGGTTTTCAGTGCGTTTAGTGGTAGTTTTTGAAATCATCGAGCCAAGTATTTACACTGCATCTAAATACGCGGATATTGCGTCTGTTTAAGGGTACTGTGATGGTGAGTGTGTGATTGTGGCCGTAGATTTCCTCTAAGAAGACTGCATGACAAGTCAGCATTTACTACTACTTTTCATTACAATCTCGAGCAAATAGACTTTTTGAACCTCTTCAAAATGAAAAACGAACGCAAAATATCTTAGAACACTTCAATGAAGTAGAAAATTTAGAATTTGCTACCGGATGAACTGCCACGAAGAAGAGAATTTTCTGAAAGATAGAGTCTGTTCATAGATACAAGAAAGTGATTATCTGATACGAATTAAAGAAAGATCCGGGAAAGCTTTAAAAATGAAATATGGCCGAACAGGTCCGTACTGTGCTTAGAATTTAAGTATTTGCGATTTTGTTAGGAAAGATACTAAACAATATTTATTTATTTATGTATGTATTTATGTTTAAAACTAATGAAATTACAATTTATTTTTACTACCTCCTTAAATACTTAAAATTATTCACATAATATATCAGTATCACTGTCGCTATCATCGCCTGTTTTGATTATTATTTGTTCTATGTTATTGGCAATATGGATATACGATTGTTCTGCTTTTACTATATGTTTAACAGAATTTGCCCTACTCTGTGGAGAGATGTTAAAAACTTTGGTTTCTATAAGTTCGAGAACATTGGAGTTAACACGGGGAAAAACATTGTTACAACGAATGGCAGATTTCAGTCGTTATTATACATGTAGTTTTGGATTGTTGCTTTTGTGTCACATGCGGAAGGAGTTTTAGTCAACTGTCTACTGTGATAACTTGCATTGTCCATTACAATTACGCTATTAGGAGGAATGTTTGGAACAAGTTTGTTTTTAAACCAACTTTCAAATAAATCAGCGGTGGTGTCTTCATGGTAATACAGAGAAGAAACTTTAATATTTTTCGCAGACAGAGAAGGTCCATATGGAATCCAACCATCTTTAGAGCCATCATGCAAAATAATTATTCTTTTACCTCTTTTCGATGGCTCGTTTGTTTTACACTTATCAGTTGAGTCAACCCAACCCTTTTCCTTGATATCCAAGTAAATAATTGGCTTTTGTTGTTCTCTGTAAATCCAATGTTTTTCTAGATATTTCAGTCGCCATTTCCGAATTCTAAAAGATTAATTATAATTAATAATAAGATTACTAATAAACTTAAACTAAGTAGTATACCAAACCAAAGAATATTAAACACAGGTAGGTATAAAATTATTTTCTATTGCGGACCACAATTTTACCTGAATTTAAATTCCGAAACTTTAGGTAATAATCTTGTTGCATTGTTTGTTAATGACCACCCTTGGATAATCCCATGCAAAAGAGTTTGGTCACTTTCTTATATCTATGAACAGACCATACCTGGAGAAAATTATTTTGAAGCGGTTTTAGATGAGATGCATCTTATTAATAGATTAAATAGATGATTCCAGTTAGATGGATGTTCTGCACATTACACTTTACCAGTTCGACGATAGCTGTACCACAATTTTCCAGAAAGATTAAGGTTAAGTCATGGTCCCTTTCCATGGTCTGCATGATTTCCTGAGTACGTTCATTCAAAGGTACCATACGAGTAATGATTATTCAAGCAGCCCAAGAAATTACACCAGCGGAGTGTCGTGCAACTGTAAAATCTGTAGCCCGTCGGTGCCGTTGAAACAAGCTATTTGCTATTAAAATTAAATGACCACTTTTATTTTAACGTACACAACATAGTTATTTTAGTAGAGATCAAATAGTTCATGTTTTATGAATTTTAAATTATCGCTTAAAAGGATCTAGGAATATGTACGGAAATCGTTTTTCTTAAAAAAAAATAAAAATAAAAAACGGGTTACAAAGAAACTAGACAAGGCATTAATTCTCTAAATCAGAAAGAAGGTCTTTAAATAATTAATAGAAACTCGATTTTTAAAAAACACTTTGAACACAAAAACAAATCAGGTTAGGATATATATGTGAAAAAAGAACTTATTTTTACTTGAAAAACCGATCTTAGGTCTTTGACGGCTTAACCTGTATATTATAAAATATTTCATTTCTCTTTATAGCCTTTGGAATTTTAATCAACATAATGTTAATCACAAAAATAGAATAAAAGTTAAAAATTAAAGAAAGAAGTTTTTGACAGATAGTTTAATATTTAGGTTGAATGATTATAGATTCACTTGTGGAGCATGTTGAAATTTTAGCATAGGAGAAATGCATATAGATACAGAGTGACCTATTAGACGTATGTCAGGAATGAATTTTGGTAAAAGTGTATATGAGGCCGTCAGTGCAATAACGTACTAAGCCCAAAATACTCTTTCGACATAATTGGCAATTAAAAAAAGGACTTTTTATAAATTAGGTTTTTCAAAAAAACAAAAGCAAATAGCCATCCAGTAAATAGGAATATAAGAAAGGTGGTGTAGTCCATTTTTGCTTTTCAGCTTCTGTCCACACTTTAGTCTATTAAAGATGGCTCCGGGCTATTTGTTACTATAAGTCGGTGTTAGTTTCTAAAAATATGGTTAAGTTCGTGAATAAAAATGCCGGGCCAAAGTCAACAATTGCTTATTCTTAGAGTGAGATGTACATGACTCATTCTGTCTCAGACTGCTCCTGATGGTCGTCGTCTGAGTTTTGAAGACTGCTATGCTGGGAAGGAAGACACTCAGTTGAGCATGATACATTCATAAGTTGCTTTTTTGTTAATATTTGTCTTAAATTTCCTAAAAAAAAACACGATGAGTTGATTTTTGAATATAAATTGTCACAGTGATTTTTCTAAGTTAGATTTTGATCTACTATAACTCCAAGGAATTTTATACGTACAGTATTTCTTCTTCAGCACTTTCAACATTAGGTCTCTTTTCACGTCGGCTTCTTCGGACCTTAACTGAAACTCTCTCGCATTCTACTCTGTATCTGCTTATATATTGTTAGGAGGGGCATAAACATGACTGATTCTCACATTGATGAAAGCTGCAGACCTGAATTGCAGTTAAAATTGTTTGGTTACTTAAGGCTTCTCGGATTTTTCGCTGGTAGAAGAATTGCGTTGAAGTGTATTTCCAATAATAGATATATTTAATGTGGAAATTACTAGAGATAAAAGCATATGCAAAATATTTTATTTCTGGGCTAAGTGACTCTGGTTGAGATAGTTTTAGGGCTCTGTAAACAAAAGAGTTGATAACCCATGTTGTTTGGGCCGGATAATGATCAAGGGCTTTAAGAAAAACATGTTCCAGATAAGCATGTTTCAAATAAGATGAGAAGGTTTAGTTGCAGATTATCGGATTTTAATACTTCCGAAATAATATTCAGAGTTTCAGCAATTGAGACGAATGAAGGAATTAATTATTAATTAATTATTAATTAAGAAACTATCAGTTTTCCCTCTAAACGGTTCTGCTAGAGAATTTATTGGAGAACCAATGGTACTGACAATAGGTCGAAGGGGTTTAGGAAACTTTGGGACTCTGTAGAGACGAGGAATTTTAGAATCATGAGGGGTGACAGAATTTTTCAATTCTTCTGATAGAGAAGAAGCCTTCATTTACGTCTCTGAGAATATCTTGATTTTTTTCCGAGTATTCACTTGTGCTCGTGACCATCGTGGCCTTTCCTTTATCTGCTTTTGGAATTAAGGCGTTGGGATTAGATTTTAGAGATATTATTAGCTGTTTGAGATTGCAGTAGTTTAGGATGGACTCGATATGCAATGGTGAAGTTAGAACCTTTTGCAAAAACTATTGATGTTTGATAGGGGTGGGGACAAGATGAAAGCAATTTCAAGATGTAGAGACAGAAGAATCTTATTGATTGCTAAGCAAATGAGGTTTTGAGATGGTGCGATATTTTAAGAAAATTATGGATAACCTTATAATCTCTACAAAGTAACAAAAAAGCAGTGTACAGAGTAATCTTACCAGTTTCAGTCTGTGATCTTCTAACCTTCTGCTTTTGCGCTTGATGTTGTTATTTTATCTTATATTGATACTGTACCCCTAACTCTGTGATAAGGAAGGTTATCCAAAAGTATCTTATTGTCTACGCAATCCAAATCCCTGCTGAGATCGCAAAAAACTCAAACAAAACTCTCTCGCCTCCATGTGACTAATAATCTCCCGATAAAACAAATGAATAGCATCCAATGCAGAAGGTCATTCACAAAAGCCAAACTGACTATCGGCCGGGTTATCGTTTTGCAAGAAAAGTGTTAATTTGATCTAGGTATCAATACTAGAAAATTTCTAGAAAAAGCAGACCATATTGCTATTGGCCTATAGTTCGCCAGTAAATCTCCCAAACCCTTCTTGTAGATGGACACTACTCTTTCTCCAGGATCATGTAAGGTACACTCTGGAAAAATTCGGTTAATTGAGTCATTGGCATAAAATATAAGGGGAGATGAGTGGTTTCTGATTCTTATTCCAAACTAAATTAACAATACTCCAAGCATTCTTCGTAGGATCATGTGAATTATTTATTCAATTTTAATATAAATATTTTTTTATCGTACAACAGATGAATGTGTTTTTATTTTTGTTGTTTATATGCGATTTTTAAATATGGACGAATATTTTGTACATTGTATATGTTCTTTAAACTCTGGCTCGATACCCAGTTCTTTTGACTACTAAAACAAGTTACAGATTACAGTTTTTAAAGAAAAGCAAATTTCAAAACTGAGCGTTACACTTGCCTGTGGAAGTTTCATTGAAAATTTGCTTAATTATTACTTAACACTTCTCTGAAATACGCTATAGAACAGTTTTTTCATTAGAAACAAATCGATTTTGGTGTTATTTTTGCAGGTTTGGAATAAACTCCAGGCGAAGAGGATCGAGTCATCGCGAAAGCTACGACAACCAACAGTTGTCGAATTGGAAAACGAAATCAGAGACAATATGTCAGATTTGCGAGCTATGGTCGCGAGAGATTACGCCGCCATTTTGTTGGGACTCGGAGATGCGAATGCTTTTCATCACATGAGTAATCAAGAAAACATTTCGCTTGCCGAACAAGACAGAACGCTATTTGAAATGTTCATTCCTATGGCTACCAAGGTTGTGTGGATAGCACTGTTCAGGAAAAACTTAACACTCGTCGGCATGTTGTAGGAAACATAAAATTTGCCACCTTAATAAATCGTTTGCAGAAAAAGAGCTCAATAGGATGCTCAGAACAAATTGGTTCAATCCAGTTCAAAATGTTTCAACCCAACACTTCACACCAACAACACAAGAAGAAAGAATACTCACAGGTGTTACTTTGACAAGCAAAAAGAAACTACTACATCGGTCACCCGCTATACAGGAACTCACTTTGGTAGACCACGACTACAGGATGCTCTCCATTGGGATTAAAGACGTGGAACCGTATGTTAATACAAAGTTTTCACTGTTGTACAGTGACACGATGATATGTTTTCAGAATCATACCTGAAAATGATGAAAGAACGAGATATCTAGAAATCGCTTATACGGCACCTGAAGAGCTTCTCGTGGATCTCAATGTAGGAGTCGGTGTGTTAGGAGTCGAGAGAAGGTACTTAGATTCTATGTTAAAGCCGAGAGAGATATCGACCACTGTAAAGAGAACCAGCATTATGAGGGTAGCTGATTTCAATATGCCCCCGCGATCGAGGTATGTCGTCATCTCAGCTATGTTGCTAGCTATTAAACTGTTGGTTCATTTATTGGATTTGTTTGTTCAGTTAAACACAAAGGAATATATCACCTTAGGAAGTTAGCAGGTGTTGCCAGTTTGTCGCGAAATCAGCCTAAGTATCAAGAGACTAAATGTTCACACGATGCCAGATCTACTCAATGTAAGATGTGGATAAAATACCTAAAGGCGTCTGCCGCAGGCCTCAAATCGGAAGTAACTACTATAACGTCATTTCTAACTGCAAAGACGCCCACTATAGCTTCGAAATCATCCAAACAGATTGTCAGGCCATGAAAGCAATAATAAATTACTTCTTGCATAAAAGTGTTGATGATATTCATGTGTTAATTCAATTAATTTAATAAAGCTTTTGGATCACTAATAAAAAAAATTGTATGTATTTTTTGAATGTTATGTAAGTATTTTGTAAATTGTTTAAATAAAAAAAAGATCAACAAATTTATTACAGCAGCAACACAACGTCTACATATATACAGAGATAGTAGTAGAGCTATATTCTTAATTACACCGCTATTGCAGCTTTATGAATTTCAATTTAACAATGGAGACGCATTCTAATCCAATTGTTCATTAAGTAATAGATTAGATTATCTAATTTTTTCAATATATATAGTATTCAACAAATGTAGTTTTTTGTTTTATGATGCATTATGCACAATATCAAAATTACTGTCAAACATCAAACTACATTTTTGAATTTAAATTAATGACATGGTTGGCGTCCGAACTTTTATTTTTAAATTTCTTAAATGTTTGTACGATACACATTTTTGGACGTGATAACCATTTTAACTTGGAGACTCCGGATTTTTGAATTTTTCGTCATTAAGGTTTTTTTTTATATTTCTATGGTGTTTTCCGTTTTAAAAGCAATCTTGAGACAAAATTTAGATAGAAGCTTTCTTTCAAGGTTCTCTTAATTATAAATTTCGGGTTCGGTGTTTAATGTGGGATGAGTAGAGTTTAGAGTTATTTGAAACTCTTTTATTTATAATCTTATCTATCAAAGGGGGGTCATTGTTAAAATTTTAATTTAACTATTTTTCAAAATTTTCTGTGAAAGGTGACATATTAATTAGTCTGTGGATAAAATAAAGATAATCAGCCATTTTGTGTGTGCCAAAGTGATTTGAGTTATTATGTATTACAGTGTCCACGTGTTTTTATGATAAATTGCAAAATGTAATTTGTTCGGCAATTTAGTTATTGTTAAGTCTAGAAAGCCCTCATTCTGTCAAAAATTGACTATGGATGTATCGTTTATTCAGAAAAAGTTTGTTAGTTCTACTAGAACGTATTCAAAATTTGGCAATTAGATATTGCCTGGGTGCTTTTTCTATAACACCAGTCCAGAGCCTCTACTGTGGATCTGGATTGATGCTACTAAACCTTGGAAGAAAAGTAGCAATGACAACATACATAACAACTATAAAAATATATCTAAAAAGCCCGAACAATGAATTCCCATTCTCCGATATTAATGCCTACTCCAGTTGAAGAAGAAGCAGTGAGATATAGAGAGTATCTCGAAAAAATTGAAGTTAACCTACCACGAGAACTGATAGATGATGATGATGATGAGGTGACAACTGCAAACAATCTGTTACCAAGAAGAAAGCAATTGAGACATTGCTTCGAAAAACAATACCAGCTTTAACAGCAAAGTATGAGATCCCAGATCTACGCAGACTAGAACAAGTGAGAGCTTTTAGAGTGTTTGCAGGAGACACAATTCTAACCCAAAAACATCTCCTTAACAGTGAACTTCCTCCTGAATGTGATATGTGTGAGGTAAATTTAACCGTCGTTCACATAATCAGTGAATGTCAAATGTATGGTTTGCAAACCATAAAATAAAACCTATTTTTGAAGAACATATTGGCATATTTAAAAGACACCAGCATAGTATATTATGCAACAAGTGCGGTAAACCGCATTTGACTCACGAGATTATTTGACACGAGCGGAGCGAGTGTTTAATAAACGAGTGAGTTAAAAAGTTTACCGAGCGTGTTGCATGCATTTTCTACGACCGTTAGTTTTTGGGTACATTTTCGGGAAACAATACGAATGCATTCACTGAGCTGACCGTTAGAATTGACAAACGTCAAAATTGAAAGCGTGGGAATATCTCCGAAAATATCCGATTGCTCCCAAATCCCGGAAATGTCCGAAGTGGCTCGGATCCGTGAGAAACGAAACTGACGTGGTAAAGTGACGCTTCCCGCATGCTAGATCGGTGTGTAATTAGGTATTTTACAGACATTAGTAGAAAAACAAAGTAACAAGCGATTCGGAAAATTCAAAAGCACTGAGCTTGTGGAGTAGAACATTGCGATCTAGGCGATCAAACGCTTTTGAAAAATCAAGATGTATGACGTCCATTTCAGAACCTTCATCAATAACCTCAGAAATACATAGTCTTTAAATTGAGGATGGTGAATCTTCCATTAAAAAAAACATGTTGTTGGGGGACTAAAACTTTGCAGAAATTGCAGATGAGGGAAATATCCCTATAGTTTGTGATTTGAGACCTACAGTCTTTTTTAATACAGGAATAATTACAATAATTATCGTAGGCGTACCGAGTGTCCAAGTAAGGGCAACAAGGCACAATATTGGGCAAATGGATGTTCCTAAAAATTGTTTTTGAGGTTCTGAAATGTGCGCCAGAGGGCGAAGTTGCCACTTTGAATTTTAAAAATGTGTATGAAACTTTAATCAGTAAATTACTTATTCAACAAGTCTACTTACAAAAACGCCGCTATCATCGATAAAGGATATTATTAATAGTAGAAAATTGAAGAAAAGAAATAAACGTAGTGATCAGGACCTAATAAAAAGGAAAACATGTTGTCTTTATCAAAGCAAAGTTGTTCCTACCTTGGATAATGTGTATTCCGAATATATCCGTTGAGTTAGTTGTACCACAAGGTAGCATATTGTTGTATACAGTTTTTTTTTCGCAAGACAGCACGAATATATTCACTGACATGACCGTCAGAATCGATAAACGTCAAAATTCAAAGCGTGGGAAATATCTGACTTAGACGGGAAAAATACTTTGATTAGACGAGGGATGTGTGTATGCAATAGAGATTCACAGCTAAGGGCTCTAGCAACCGATGCTGTTGATTGAGGATGCTTTAGTGGGTAAACCAGGATTGCAGAATTCAACAGGGTATCGCTTAAAAAAAAAAATAAATAACACTAAGATTCGTAATTTTCCATATAACAAAAATGCATTTTTGCATTTTTCGTTGAATCTCAAAGCATGAATTCTCAAAATTTTATGAATTTAAATGTGCATATATTGAGGTTTTCCGCTTGCATTTTTTCCGCTCTCCTTTAGTTACACGGTACAAACCAATGAAAACACGCTAGGGGCTATGCCACCAATTATACGCTTGCATACAGTTCCTCACTTGTGGGAAATGATTTGGTCGTCGACATTAGTGAATTATTATTAAATGTCAAAAAATATGTCAACCCTCGTGAAGTGAACTTTTGACGTAGATAAATTGTTTCATTACCTGATTGCTTTGAAGGAGAACAACCACGACTTGTCACAGAATAGTGACCTGGTGGTACGTTGGCACCATGACAATGAAGAGGTATTTGCAGTCGCGTGCAGTTGGTCAACAGTGGAGAATGGTCATTTAAATTAGGGTGGACGCTCAGATTTACCACTCTTAGATCAGCGGGCGAGCTACCTAGAATTTACAACCCGAATGAGCGTTTATAGATAAACACTGTAGCTAATGTTATTACAAATATTGCCGTTATCGTTATTTTTGAGCCCGAGTATTGCTGCTATCGTGAACGACTTATTTGTGACGGACGATGCGCTTCTGCACCTGGATTCGTCTTCCTGTGAAGAATCCTCGCAAATGGTGGACATTGTGTGGTCGCCATCATTTCCATTTGGATCTTCGAGATGATTGTACCCCAGAAGTCTACTCAGAGAGTTCGAATAGTTGTAGTTGTGTAGCATTCTTCTTGATCTAAATTACATTATGGTTGGAATCTGAAAACAAATTCAAAATGTTAAAAAAGAAGAAAAAATACTGAAAATCTTCGAAGCTTTTTGTTCCATCGTTTATCGGGGATTATTGTGTGTATGTATGCAAAATTTACACTATAAGTTTAAGATTGTTAGGTTGTTTATAGATTTCTATAGACTCTCGGATTTTTCATTGGTAGAAGAATTGATTACATGAAAGTTTTATCAAATAAAATTTTATTTCCGGTTTCGTGATTGTTGTCCAAAAATATCTCAACATCTTCGGTCCGTCAAAGATAAAATACGATTTGAGATGCCAGGAGTTTACAGCATTCCATGCATATGCGGCAAAGAATACATTGGAGAGATCGTACGAAAAATATCAACTAGACTCAAAGAACACGAAATAACCTTACGACTAAGACAAATAAACTCATCAACTGTTGGCGAGCACACTGATGAAACCGGACATAAAATTTTATTGGATAAAACTAAAATTCTTGCATGTAATTAGTTCTTCTACCAACGAAAAAGCCGAGAGTCTATAGAAATCTATGAACAAATTAACAATCTTAGCCGCGACTCAGGTTACCAATATGGGAATTAGTCACCCGAGGCCGTGTTTATGCATTAGTTCCGCCCGCCTCAAACAATATATAAGCAGCTACAAAGTAAAATGCGATCCAGTTTCAGTCAAGTACTGAAGAAGTCAACAGGATGATCGGCGAAACGTCAGCAAGTTCGACTCAGCAAAAACCGACGCAGGAGGAATCCAGAAGTTTTGTAAAAAGTATTACAGTAGCCTGTGGAAGTTTCTTTGACGGAAATGTGGTTACAGTTTTTTGGACTGTCACTGTTATCGCTTCTGCAAACGTTATTTCAGTGATGTTTGGTACACATACAGGGTTTTAGGGGTTTACTTGTATGCATTTTAAACTGCTCATTTCAATCATTGGCAGCAAGTATTAGTAGTAGTATTAAAATTTGCTTGAAATTAATTTTTAGATGAGATGAAAAAAATCAATGCTGAACGGTCCCACATTATTTATTTTTGCTAAATTCTTGTGCTCGTTAGCCAGATCTACTGCAGTGTTAAAGGTTAAAGGTTTCAAACAGAGCCCAAAGTAAGTACCAAATATTACCAGAATACCATTTGCCCTAATTAATAATAATAATACATCTTACTTTAAACATGACGCAAATCTAAAACATGTAAACATTCTAATAGTATATTATACAAGTGTGGTGAACGGCATTTGAGTCACGAATT